TCCACTGAAAGATAAAGCAATAGTCTTGATTCAGCTCACCAAGTCCCCCGACACCTGTCCACCAAGACTTCAACAGCTTTTGAAAAACCATGAAGCATTCAAAGTTAGAAGAGAATTCAACCATTCCAAATTTCTTAATTTACAAAATCCTCACCTGAGATAAGAGCACAGTCCAATTCTCTAGAATAATAAACATTTGCTAGAAGTTTTATTCATACCTTTATCCCTAGAAACTACAACCACATTATTACCTTTTTGGAACAGTATGAATGAAACAAGTCGTTAGTTTTATCTAACTCTTTGGAATGCAATTCTTTCAGAATTCAGTTTTTGCCATTTACAAAAACAAAAGCCCTCTCAACAAGAGCTCTGCATTCAGCTTTGCTGGGTCTTCCACTACAGTTATCTCAGCAGCTCCATCGGTTGCTTCCTTGGCAGGGTCGGGCCAATAAAGCCTAACAAAGGACCAGCTCATGCTCTGAAATAAAATGTTTACTAAATAGGTATCTACTGACAGCAACTACCCTGGTTGCATCACTTAAACACCCACCTGAGGAATGCACCCTCCCTAACAATCAACAGGTAAAAACTCTCACAGGGCAAATAACTGCGTGTAAGCAAAGAACTCTGAACGGAGTTTTCTGCAGCTCTCGCAGCCTCTCGCCACTGCCCTACAGGCTATCGCTGCAATAACTTCACCGACAGCATAACCAGTATGCATTTCCAGCACACTATTCTAGAAAACATGAAACAACAACAAACCTTACCACCCCCAAAAAGGGAGCTTGGGGGGATGACATTTAAGGACGCCTAGAATTCTAAATTACTTAACATTTCTTGGAAATCGGACTTCTTTTGAAGCTGTATTTTACATAAAAGCCTACTGGTGATATTCATTACTGTAACTACATCATGTACAATACTACTGTATCTTCGATGCTCCGGTGGACGTTCCAAATATCCTCCAGCATGGTTTTAGAGAAGACACTCCTCACATCCCTGTATGTACCATCTGATACCCAATTAATCCATTGAAAACTGTCTTCAATTTGTGTGTCTCTCTTCCTCTATTGTCCTAATCAACTTACCTTCTTTTCTAAGCATTCTGCAAATTTCAACTGCTTCAACAGCTTCTTCTGCTTGTTGCTGAAGCGATTGTCCTGTTCGGCGCTTGTTCCCTAAAGCGCAGGAAATAAGATTTAGTCTGTATGACATTCAACTATCTCCAAGGATTGTTTTCCCACATACTTGCACTGGACAGTGCGCAGCAACAGCGGTCATACCATTCTGTAAGCAAATAAGCCTTTTCAGGTGCCTTTCAATTTTAGCACTATAGTCTTCATCTGCTGCTGAAGATATAGGGGTTAGCAGGCTCCTGAGCTCTACAGTGACACCTTAATTGTATCATCTCCCTGGCATACTACTTTAAATTTAAAAGTACAGTAGTATCAAATTGCTATGAAAAGTACTTCTGCTGGAATTCACAAACTCCTCAGAAGGAAAAGGCTCTTTTTCCTCTGTCCAAGAACAAAAACATCACATTTGTTTACAGTGACATCTATGAAACCTGTGGGTAAATTTCTCTGAAGCAAATCAGCCAACATGGAGCCAGCAAGAGTACAAAGAATACTATTTTATTGATCATGCTCTGTTAAAGTTCACCAACTCGTTCCACTTTCGTGAACAGAAACTATAGGTTAAGTCATTTGGAATTGAAAGGCTTGAAAGCCCAGTTCTGGAAAATTTACTTGCACAGAAGTAAACAGAACCATAGATGAACAAGAGTATATGTGCAGAACTGCATCCAAATACCGATGACCTGTTAAACAAACCCACAGTTCACATGTGAAGTGAAATTTATTCAGGAAACCAACCTGACTGATGAAAACCACAGGAATTTAATACAAGCTATTTCCTGTGCATGTAAGAAGGGGTTGAGTACCAGCAATAATATAAGCTGCTAAGGAACCAAAAGATAATAAATAAGAAAAAGCTCAAATTCTAAGGTAACCTAATCACTTGACATGATCAGAAAGCACTTGGAATTAGCAATGTAACATGCTACAAAGTCATCAGGTGTTGAAAGGGAATTGTAACTATTAACATTCCCACTTGCTATTTTGTTCTGGTTTAGCCCCAGCCGGTAACTGAGCACCATGCAGCCGCTTGCTCGGCCCTCCCCCGCCAGTGGGATGGGGAGAAGAATGGAGGGGAAAAAACTCGTGGGTTGAGATAAAGACAGTTTAATAGGATAAAAAAGGAATAATATTATAACAACAACATAAAACAAGCGATGCACAAATGCAATAGCTCACCACCTACGGAAAAAAAACCTTGATGCTCAGCCTGTTTCCGAGCAGCGATCCCACTTCCCAGCTCACTTCCCCAGTTATGAACTGGCAGGGACTATCCCTTTTGGCCAGTCTGGGTCAGCTGTCCTGGCTCTGTTCTCCCGGCTTCTCGTGCACCGGGCAGGGCACGGGAAGCTGAAGAGTCCTTG